CTCTCTCTCTCTCTCTCTCTCTCTCTCTCTCTTTCCCTTCCTTCCTTCCTTCTTTCCTTCCCTCCCTCCCTCCCTTCCTCCCTCCCTTCACCACTGAGCCACATTCCCAGCCCCATTTTGTATTTTATTTAGAGACAGGGTCTCACTAGTTGCTTAGCACTTCACTGTTGCTAAGACTGGCTTTGAACTTGCAATCCTCCTGTCTCAGCCTCCCAAACCACTGGGATTACAGGTGTGTACAACTGTGCCAGGCTACAGCTTCTTTATCCATTCATCTATTGAAGGACATCTAGGTTGGTTCCACAATTTAGCTATTGTGAATTTTGCTGCTATAAACATTGATTTGGCTTGCATCTCTGTGACCTGTTCCTGGCGACTAAAGCACTCAAGAGTGTCTCCAGGGGAACTGGGCTGCACGAAATAACCACACAAGAAAGAGATACCTTTTTCTTTGGGGGTCCTGTGACAGCTTCTCCAACCTTAAGGGTCTGCAGAAAGAGAGGAAGAGTCCACACACGCTGACCTCTTTTGTTGAGGAGAAGCCATTCAAATGAGGCAAGGGGTCAGGTTTCAAGGGGCTGAGTCTAGCTTCAAGATGTCTGCTGTCAGCAGGTTGACTGACATCTAGGAAGGCAGAGCAAGAGAAGGGGACATACAAAGGGCGTTTCCATGGAACATTCTATCCCAAACAGGACAAAGGGGTAATATCACAAAGGAACAGATGAGCATAGCTCAACCCATGGAGCTGCAGGAAGGTATGCCTACACATGAAGACACATTTTGCTACATTTTTACAGCCTTCAAGGTCCAGGCCACTGTCTTGTGGCCAGATTCCAGGAAGTGACTGACAGAGCCTCACCAATCAGGAAAGGAAAATGCTGGTCACATGGTGTGGCAGCCTCCCACATCCTTATAGTATGCTGTTTTTAAGTCCTTTGGGTATAAATCAGGGAGTGGGATAGCTGGGTCAAATGGTGGTTCCATTCCAAGTTTCCTAAGGAATCTCCATACTACTTTCCAGATTGGTTGCACCAATTTGCAGTCCCCCCTTTTCCCCCACATCCTTACTAATACTTATTGTTAATTGTATTCTTAACAATTAACTACCGTTCTAACTGGAGTGAGATGAAATCTTAGTTTTAGTTTTGATTTGCATTTCTCTAATTGCTAGAGATGTTGAACATTTTTTCATATATTTGTTGATCACTGGTTTATCTTCTTCTGAGAAGTGTCTGTTCACTTCCTTAATCCACTGATTGCTTGGATTATTCATTTTTTTTAGTGTTAAGTTTTTTGAGTTCTTTATATATCCTGGAGATTAATGCTCTATCTGATATATGTATGGTAAAGTTGCTTCCATTCTGTAGGCTCTCTATTTACCTCACTGATTGTTTCTTTTGCTGAGAAGAAGCTTTTCAGTTTGAACCCATCCCATTTATTGATTCTTGATTTTATTTCTTGTGCTTTAGGAGTCTTGTTAAGAAAGTAGGGTCCTAATTCAACATGATGAAGATTTGGGCCTAGTTTTTCTTCTCTTAAGAGCAGGACCTCGGGGCTGGGGATGTGGCTCAAGCAGTAACGCGCTCGCCTGGCATGCGTGCAGCCCGGGTTCGATCCTCAGCACCACATACAAACAAAGATGTTATGTCCACCAAAAAAAAACTAAAAAAAATAAAATATTAAAAATTCTCTCTCTCTCTTTAAAAAAAAAAAAAGAGCAGGACCTCACTTTGAAATGTGTTTTGTTCATAGTGAGAGATAAGGGTTTAATTTCATTTTGCTACATATGGATTTCCAGTTTTCCCAGCAACATTTGTTGAAGAGTCTTTCTTTCTTCCAATATATGTTTTTTGGCACCTTTGTCTAATATGAGATAACTGTATATATGTGGGTTTGTCTCTGTGTTCTGTTTTCTGTACTATTGGTCTACAAGTCTATTTTGGTGCCAATAACATGTTGTTTTTGTTACTATGCTCTGTACTATAGTTTAAGGTGTGGTATAGTGATGCTACCTGCTTCACTCTTCTTGCTAAGGATTGCTTTAGCAAAATAATTGTCTCTTATTTTTCCAGATGAATTTCATGATTGCTTTTTCTATTTCTGTGAGGAATGTCATTGGGGTTTTGATCGGAATTGCATTAAATCTGTATAGTGCTCTTGGAAGTATGGTCATTTTGATAATATTAGTTCTGCCTGTCCAAGAACAAGGTAGATCTTTCCATCTTCTAAGGTCTTCTTTGACTTCTATCTTTAGTGTTCTGTAGTTTTCATTGTAGAGGTCTTTTGCGTCTTTTGTTCAATTGATTCCCAAGTATTTTTTTTTTTTTGAGGCTATTGTAGTTTTCCTAGTTTCTCCTTCAGAGTATTTGTTACATATATACAGAAATGCATTTGATTTATGGATATTGATTTTATATTTATTATTATTTTTTTTTCTTTTGTTTTTGGGGCGGACACACATCTTTGTTTGTATGTGGTGCTGAGGATCAAACTCGGGCCACACGCATGCCAGGCAAGTGCGCTACCGCTTGAGCCACATCCCCAGCCCGGATATTGATTTTATATCCTGCTACTTTACTGAATTCATTTATTAGTTCTAGAAGTTTTCTGGTGGAATTTTACAGATCCTCTCAGTATACAATCATGTCATCAACAAATAGTGATAGTTTGATTTCTTCTCTTCCTATCCATATCCCTTTAATTTCTTTCACCTGTCCAAATGCTCTGGCCAGAATTTCAAGGACTATGTTAAATAGAAGTGGTGAAAGAGGGCATCCCTGTCTTGTTCCAGTTTTTAGAGGGAATGCTTTCAATTTTTCTCCATTAAGAATGATGTTGGGGTGGGGCTGGGGATGTGGCTCAAGCGGTAGCGCGCTCGCCTGGCATGGGTGCGGCCCGGGTTCGATCCTCAGCACCACATACAAACAAAGATGTTGTGTCCGCCGAGAACTAGAAGATAAATATTAAAAATTCTCTCTCTCTCTCCCCCTCTCTCACTCTCTCTTTAAAAAAAAAAAAAAGAATGATGTTGGCCTTGGGCTTAGTTATAGATAGCTTTTACAATGTTGAGATATGTTTCTATTATTGCTAGTTCTTCTAACATTTTGAACATGAAGGATGCTGTATTTTATCAAATTAATTCTCTGCATCTATTGACATGATCATATAATTCTAATCTTTAAGTCTATTGAAGTGATGAATTACATTTATTGATTTCTATAAGTTGAACCAATCTTGTAAACCTGGGATGAACCCCACTTGATTGTGGTGCACTATCTTTTTAATATGTTTTTATATTCGATTTGCCAGAATTTTATTGAAAATTTTTGTATCTATATTCACTAGAGATATTTGAATGAAGTTTTTTTTTCTGTGATGTGTCTTTGTCTAGTTTTGGAATCAGGGTGATATTGGCCTCATAGAATGAGTTTGGAAGTGCCAGGAAGAAAGGCACATGCCTGTAATACCAGTGGCTCAGAAGGCTGAGACAAGAGAATTATGAGTTCAAAGCCAGCCTCAGCAATTTATCAAGGCACTAAGCAACTCAGTGAGACCCTGTCTCTAAATAAAATAGGGCTGGGGGGCTGTGGCTGTGGCTCAGTGGCAGAGAGCTTGTCTTGCCCATGTGAGGCATTGGGTTCGATCCTCAGCACCACATAAAAATAAACAAAATAAAGGCATGCTGTCACTCTATAACTACAAAAAAATAAAAAATAAATAGGGCTGGGAATGTGGCTCAGTGCCCCTGAGTTCAATCCCTGGTTACCCCCTCCAAAAAA